TGGTAAACGAGGACGTAGATTTAAGGAGTGAACCCGGCATGGGTGTGATGCCGGGGTCTCCGCAGGGTTCGTCTCGGATTCCGGGAAATTCAGGACGGGTCCTGTCAATAGAAGACATGCATGATCAAAAAAGTGTGGATGCCCTTTTCAATTAAAGGGTAAAAAGCTAGAAACAGATGATCATTGGATGCTGATAGTGGTTACTTGTAATGACCCGGTCCTAAATAAATGTTTAATTATTAATTAAATATGATAAAAGACCATTATGCCCCTAGAAAATTACATTAGTTTTAAAGTTGACTTTTTGACCGGGAAGAAATTTGGGAATTTCGGCTGTACCGTTGCGTAGAGCACGGTGAGATGAGTCCGTAGACATGTAGTTGCAAATGTTAGGGAGGAGTCAGAAAAACATGGACTAAAGCACTTGCGAAATGTCCTTCTTCGTGAGATATTAAATGAAAAAGATCTAACCATCGGCACTCCATCTATAGGATCAACTTATGTTCGAGAAAGGCTCAGCAATACAAAGGTCCTCATTGTTCTAGATGATGTGAGTGCTTCAACCCAATTAGAACTTCTAGTTGGTGATCATTTTCAGTTTGGCTCTGGGAGTCAAATAACTATAACGACAAGGGACAGGCGCCTACTTAAGAAAAAGGTTGATGATGATAAGATATACAAGGTTGAGGGATTATCTTATGATGAAGCTCGTGAGCTATTTCATTTACATGCTTTAAAAAATAACTCGACTGAAATGTTATACAAAGTTGGTGATAGAATATGCAGGAGGCATGCCATTAGCTCTTAAGATTTTGGGATCCTTATTCCTTCATTGTGACAACAATCATGAAAGGGAAGATGAATTGAATAACTTGAAAAAATTTCCCAACCAAGAAATTGAGAACATGTTGAAACTAAGTTATGATGGATTAGAAAAAAATGCAAAGGAGATATTTCTTGATATAGCATGTTTCTATAAGGGGATGAAAATAGATTTTGCAAAAGAAATGTTACATATTTGTGGTGTATTTGCGGGTGGAATTAAGGTTCTTATTGAGAAATCTCTAGTATCAATATCAAGATGGAACTGCCTAGAGATGCATGATTTGGTACAGAAAATGGGCAGGACAATAGTTTACGAACAATGCATTGAAGAGCCCGGAAGACGCAGTAGATTGTTCATTGCTCAGGATATCTATCGTATATTGAGAAATAATACAGTAAGAACCAAATACATTCACTTTCTCTAAACAATGAGAATAAAAATATCACGAATTTTTCTACGAACTACCTGGGAAAACACTCATTTATACAATAAACAAGCCGGATACATACAAATGTAATTTTGATTAAACTTCGTTATATATTGCCTCATATTTATATTTTGCTTTTGATTGTCAGGGGACTGAAGCGGTTCAAGCCATATTCTTTAACAGCTCTAAGAGTGGACAACTACGCTTGGATCATGCAGATTTCAAAAAGATGCATAATCTAAGCTTACTCAATGTTGATTCTAGCTTTGGAAAGTACTGCAAATTAAAAGTTTCTCTTCCCAATTCTCTTGGCTATCTTTGCTGGGAGGAATATCCTTTGAAGTCTTTGCCATCAAAATTTTCTCCAGAAAATCTTGTTGAGCTTCGAATGTGTGGAAGCAAAAAGTTGAGCAACTTTGGAATAAAGTCCAGGTATATATGCTTATTTTGCTTTTTGTTTAAAATTCTGTGCGAAAACTTATTCTAGATAAATCATTAATTAAGTCTTGTCATTTGTCTTTAATTTGTTACATAATCTTGAGAACTTAAAAGTGATGGATCTTCGTTCCTCCACTTATCTTATTAAAGTCCCAGATCTCTCTCAATTAAAGTCGAAAAATGGTGCATATATATAAATCTTTTTGGTTGTACAAGTTTGGTTCAAATACCTTCCTATTTTCAATGTCTTGACAAGCTTACTCATCTTGACCTGGGAGATTGCTTGAATCTCAAATATCTTCTGCAGATGCCAGGCAACATTGAATTTTTAAATTTGTCTAAAACTGCAATGGAGGAATTGCCTTCATCAGTTTGGTCACACGAAAAAATTTCATACTTGGATTGGATATGCGATTTTGTAAAGACCTTAGGAATCTTCCAAGCAACAGTTGTGACCTGAAACTAACCTCTGGTTTTAGTCTAGAGGGCTGCTCATCTATTTGCAATTTTTCGGAACTTCCAAGAGATCTAAGAGTACTAGAGATGGTGGGGACAAAAATACAAGTATTTCCCTCATCAGAGTATCTCCATCATCTCAATACAATTCGACTACTTGATTGCAAAAGGCTTGTGAGTCTCCCGCCAAGCATTTCAAAGTTGAAGTCTCTATATGAACTTGATCTTACAGGATGCTCTGAATTTGAAGACTTCCCTGAAATCTGGGAGCCTATGGGACATCTAAAGATTCTTTTGTTAAACGGAACAGCTGTTAAAGAACTACCCTCATCAATAGAATGTCTTTTTGGTCTCATAAGAATTGAACTGAAAAATTGCAAAAGGCGTGAGTCTCCTGCCAAGCATTTTAAAGTTGAAGTCTTTTTATGAACTTGATCTTACAGGTTGCTCTAAATTTGAAGACTTCCCTGAAATCTGGGAGCCTATGGGACATGTAAAGGTTCTTTTGTTAAACGGAACAGCTGTTAAAGTACTACCCTCATCAATCGAGTGTCTTTTTGGTCTCATAAGAATTGAACTGAAAAATTGCAAAAGACTTGTGAGTCTCCTGTCAAGCATTTTAAAGTTGAAGTCTCTATATGAACTTGATCTTACAGGTTGCTCTGAATTTGAAGACTTCCCTGAAATCTGGGAGCCTATGGGACATCTAAAGTGTCTTTTGTTAAACGGAACAGCTGTTAAAGAACTACCCTCATCAATCAAATGTCTTTTTGCTCTCCCAAGAATTGGACTGAAAAATTGCAAGAGGCTTGTGAGTCTCCCGCCAAGCATTTGTAAGTTAAAATCTCTTAAGGAACTTGATCTCACTGGTTGCTCTGAATTTGAAGACTTACATGAAATTTTGGAGCCTATGGGGGAGCTGGAGTTCCTAGGTTTAGAAAGAACATCGGTTAAAGGGTGTGACTCTCGTCGATTGGAAATCTGACTGGGCTTCAAAAA